TTGCAAAAATGCTCCAACTCTGTCTGATTGTGAGGGCATTTCTTGTGCACAGCCCTCCTAAGATCATTCCACAAATTTTCTATGGAATTCAGGTCTAAACTCTGGTTGGGTCATTCCAAATTTTTAATCTTCTTTATGTGAAGACTTTTTTGTTGTTGTTGATTGGGTCATTGTTGTTTTGAATGACAAAGTTTTTTCTTCACCTTCAGCCTTCTAATAGAAGCCTGAAGGGACTGGGGGCCTCACTTGGCGGGCTGGACAGACGTCACTGGTCCTCGAGCCACTAGTTGCCTATATCCAAATGAATACACTACAAAGACAAGACATTTAACGTTCAAATTGATAAACTATATTAATATAAACTATAATAATATTCACTAATTTTGAATTTGATGACTGTGACACGCACCAAATGAGTTGGGACAGGGGCAACAAAAGACTGGGAAAGTTGAGGAATGCTCAAAAAACACAGATTTATAGCATTCCACAGGTGAACAGGTTACAGTAATTGGAAACAGGTGAATGTCATGATTGGGTATAAAGGGAATGTCCCTGAAAGGCTCAAGCTTAGGTTATAGTTGACGCGACGCACAGGCGCGAGGGGGTTTGCGTCAAAAGTTACGCAATTGCGGCGTCTCCGCCCCCGCACATCGGCCCCGCGTTGTGTCCTGACGCGTGGTCGTGCACCTCCGAAATTTTGAAACTCCACAAAGGCTGCGCGCCACTCGTAGCGAAGGTGCTCTCGCTGAACAGGTCCGAATGTACCGGCATCTGTATGATCCCTCCATGAGAGATCATAAAGACAACAAGATGGCACAAAACTCATGGAAGGAAATAGCAACGGCTTGAAAGAAAGATAAGTTAATAGGCCGGACGACATGGAAAAATATTTGCGACTGGTTTGTGATCCTGGTGGAAACAAACCAGTGTTGCTCTCTCAGTTCGTGAAGCACAGAGAAACAGATAATAGGGAAAAAGAGGTAAATGTGTTTATTTGTTATGTGTGACGTCAAGCGTTTCTTCTTCTACACTCTTCCCGACTACTTTTCCGCTGGTTTGGCACCGTACTGCCATCTGTCGGTGATGGAAGAACAGCGATAACATGAACGTCAACTATGTTTTCACACAGCTTGCGGCTCAGGAGTGGGTGCACTCCGCAGAGCTTCCGCGACAACCCGAAGTGCGACTATACCCAACCTTTAGTCTCTCACAAGCAAGGATGGGGCGAGGTTCACCACGCACAACTGCGTGAACAAATAGTCCCAACAGTTTAAGAACAGTTGTCGATGTACAACAACAACGAATATAGGGATTTCATCATCTTCAGTCCATAATATCACCAAAGAATTTAGAAAATCTGGACAAATCTTATTGGCATCAAGGCAGAAAACCAACATTGAATGCTGAAACCTTCGATCCTTCAAGCAGCACTGCATTTAAAGGGGCAATATTATGTGTTTCTCAGGCATATATTTAAACACTATACCATAATAAAGTATCTACGTCACCTTTAGTTGTTATTAAAATGCTGTTTTTATGTTTAAATAGAAAATAAACTTATCTTCTCATCACTTCCTCCTCTAAGCGCCTTGAAATTGACCTCTGTCTCTTTAAGAACCACCTTCCACTTCTGTCCCGTCCCATTTCAGTGAGTGGGGGGGGGGGGTGGTCGTGCGTGCTATGATGCAGTTTACTTGGCATCTGAAAATACATTTCCTCAAAGGTATTTTGAATCTGAAGAGAGCTTCGCTGAGTGAGAAGTATGTACGGTAGTGTTAAGAGCAGCAGACAGTTTAAGTTTCACTTTTACTTTGCTCTGTCACTGCCGAGAGCCTGCAGGAGTCATGGACGGAGTGCTTGAGGTGGGGGTGGGGAGGTGTGCTCCGTGATGAGGAAGCTCAGCTTAAAGACACGTCCCAGGGGCGTTTCTGGTACCAAAAGGCGTTTCTGGTCCCCACCTGTCGTTTTGCTCCTCAGCATGGCTGCCTAAAAATGCTGCAGGATTTCTCAAAAATGCATGAATGAGTCAAAGCAAGGCTTTGGGCATGTTTTTTATGAGAGTATAACATTATAACATGACATAAAACTCAAAAAAGTTGATTTTACATGATATTGCCCCTTTAAAATCCAACATCATTCTTTAACAGAGATTATCACATGAGCTCAGGAAGACTTCAGAGAACCATTGTCAGTGAACACAGCTCATCTCTACGTCTACAGGTGCAAATTAAAACTCTACCATGCAAAGCCAAAATTATACAGCAACAACAGCCAGAAATGGACTGAGCATGTGTTGCAGGCATCAAATTCAAAATGAGTGAATCTTAAAACAAATCAATAAAGTTTATTTGTTTGAACATCAGATATCTTGTCTTTGTACTGTAGTGTATTCAATTGAATATACTTGTTGAAAAAGTTTTGCAAATCATCACACTCTGATTTTTTTTACACACTGTCCCAACTTCATCAGAATTGGGGTTGTAAAAAAACATTTTACTGGTCAGTTGGTAAAAAAAATATTGAGTTTTACCAATGAAAAAGAGTAAAGAGTGCAAATGAAGTCAGTTTGATTTGGAAAAACTGTATGAGGGCTGAACAGTCAACAAGACTTTGTCAAGAAATTTGGTTCCAGTTCTCAAAAGTTGTTTTTTTTTTTATAAAACATCAACATTTGGTTTGACAGTTATATGCCAGTTCTGAGAAAAATGGAGACATGTTGCAATTGATCTGTTGCATTTAGCACATCCTACATCTGAACTGTTCATGGCACATTGATGCACATTCAGTCAGAGCTTCAGGCGTGAGCCTGCATATTCCACCCAGTGTTAGAAACCACAAAAATACACATTTCTAAATCTTTACATTATCTTATGATGAAGGAGTACAGTGGAGAACAGATGATGAAAAACAACAACATGGAATTTTCCATCCAAAAATCACTTCAGGTTTAGGGGCTATGCTGGGCCATAAACAGGTCAGGTCTGAAGTAGCTTAGCCCCCAAGCCTCTGTGTTTGTCAACCAAAGAGAGACATGGTGGGGGCGGGGTGGGGGAATCAGTGGAAAATTACCAATCCCGCACTCACTCACTCACTCACTCACGCACAGACGCACACACACACACAGAGACACACACGGAATCAGAAGCCGTCCAAGGGGCCAACCCAGGGCTACATTTCTACCTCACTCGATGGTTATGAGGCAGCTTGCGTTTTTATTGGGAGGGGTGTGAGGGGGACGCATGGCTGCGTTGTCGGGACGCAGCAGCCCGCAAAGCTATGCATACAAAGACATCTGATGGTGTGTGTGTGCTCACGTCCCTGCACATTTCCAAGAAAATACCGGAGACGTGTCCAGCGGGGTCGAATAAGCGATGGGCGAGCAGCACGCACGTGTGTGTCTGCGTGAGCGTGTGTTTGCACTTTCAGTAAGTGTTGCGTGCGTTTTATGCTTTTTGAATCTGTAATTATAAATGTACATCAACAGGAATTGGCGTAATTTATGAAATAAATCCATTTTCCGCAATTTTCACACATTTATCCATCCATACTTTGTCTTCTTAGAAAACTCTGTACCAAAGTTTACTCAAACAAAAGAACTTCCACAAAGCTGTATTACCTGGGTTCCAAGGCAGCCCACCATCATGTGAGTGAGCAATTTGGCAGCAAACATGGGGGAACGGGAGCACAAGACATGGGATATGATGGCCAATGCAAACCCTGAGGAAAGAAATAAAAATAAAACATGGATTTAGTCTTATTAATTAAAAGAAACAACAGCAAAAAATGTTGAAATTATTAACCTCTTTTTATTGCAGAGAAGAAAATGTATTTAATTCATTTTGGATCAAACTGAAAACAAAGGCAAGTGATTTGAGGGCAAACAGGAGAAAAGGAAAGAAGGAAGAAAATCACACGAGGAGCGTTTTTGTACCTGAGATACAAATAAATCCTGATGTGTAGAAGGCCTCGTTGTAGGACGCAAGCAAGGCAAACTCTGCGTGGGCTGCATAGATCGACAAGTGGGAGCAAGCACACTCCACGTAAGTCCCACTTTCCTTCACAACTCTGCAGTACCGACCATCTGATGACCAGCTGGAGGAGAAAGGAGACAAAGCAAGGTGAGACAATAAAAGATAAAAAAAAAAGTATTTGCAAACTGGATTCTGGAGTTTTACAAACTTTCATCCAACTTTGTCTCAATTTTCCAAAGATGTGGCATGATTTTAATAAGAAAGCACAGAATTGTGAAAATAAAAAAACCTTTTCCAGAAACTGGGATTTCTTATCTTGGGAACATGTTGCCAGAAAAATGAGCAGCAATGCAGCCTTCTTCCTGTTTGTGTCAAACTTACTGGAATAGTTAACACATCTCAGCTGCTGTTTGCTCTCCTTCGATTTACTTTTATAATCAGTATTTTCTCTTTTCCTTATCTAAATAGCTGCACTGACCAAACCAAACCTGCCAATTTTTAACTTGTAACAACGCGTTTTGGCCAATTCCTCATTCCACGCCCCAGCAATGTCCTCAACAAACAGACCCTGCGTCGGAGTGCAGACGACTGAATGTACAGACGTAAAATCAGAAAGGCATGAGAACTTTGATGGCTACAGCGAGGCCTTACTGACAGACCAAACTTGGACTTTTGCCTCTCACTGAGCAAACAGATTTTTAGTCAAGTGTGAAGATGACAAATAGAACTTAGCAAAGGTTTTATACAACTCCTGAATATTAGTACAGAGACAGAGGGAGGTTAGTAAAATAAAAAAGATTTAATGCGCACACACTGGTTTTAAAAAAAAGCCGAAGGCAAGGCAATGGAACAACCAGCTAATACCAGAAAAAACATCAGTTTTTTGTGAGTGAGAAAACATTTCTTAAAAAACTGAGGCCAGAATAAAATAAAAATAAAAATAATTAAAACCCTAAGGTGTTTCAAAAACATGCCATTCTGAGTCTTTTGAATTTGCAGAGGGAAACCACTGTACATCACACTCCAAACCTCGGCTATGACTTCCACTCCTTCTGTTTCAGCTGCTTCAAACTGAACGTCAAAACTCAAAGCAGTCTGTTTTCATCAGCAGTTACACAGCTTGGTTCCAGTACTTGGTCTAATGTTTTATATCTTTCTTAGGAAATCCAATGTCATTGTCAACATCATTGCCAGTCTTAAATTTTGATTCCCAGAAAAGTTAGAAATTCCGAGGGTCATGGGCCAGTTTAATGCTTTACTCAGGAGATAGTTCCCAAAAGATGGATCATTAACAACAGTCGAGTATTGATCTGCTGACAAAAGAAACATAGGGAGGTGAGGGTAACACTGTCAAATATGTTTCAGTGTGCTGAGTGATAGTTTGAGCTCGGTTTGCTGTTTATTCTAGTGTGAACTGTCGGGTTTGGCTTGTTTAAATGACATTAACCTGATTCATTATTATTGCTCAACTGTTATTGATTGCAATTTGTGCTGAGGGTAGGGTTAGGGTTGGATCTCTCAACCCACTTATTCCCCCACCAAAGAAATAAATAAAAAAATTGACCTAAAGACAGCTGAGGTACAGTAATTTTGTTGTTATACCAGCACATCAGTTAAAAACTCTTGAAACTGTGTTGAAAAAAGGCATGTTAAAATCCACATCTGACAAAGGCTGTTTTTGTGTATTAACCTTGCAGTGGTCTGATTCCACAAAAGGCACGCAGACTCTCCTGGTTTAACTTGCTGACCAGCAGAGTGAATACGATATATCACCTCAGTGCCATCTTCCAGGGGTCGTGATCCTCTCTCCTGGAGACTGACTGAGAAAACCTACAAACACAAACAGCAGCAGGGGAGAGTTCAGTTTAACAGGCTTTTTATTCAAGTGCAATACTGCCATCTGATGTTCAAACAAGCTAGTTCCTTTAAATAATAATTAGTGTACAGTATCACTCCTAATGCTCCTACCTTCCCACTGATGGCTGTGTTGGTATCATTGGTGAGAAACCAGTGTTCAGTTCTGAACTCGGTCTGCTGGATCCTGCTGAGGTTTCTACAGTCTGGAGTTAAGGCTGCTGGCACCGGCAGCAGGGTGTCTGGAAGCTGGAAGAAGTCTGAATTCTGTCCTCTGAACCTATGTCCATTTATTTGTGTGGGGTACCATTGGAAGGCAGAGATGGTCATAAATGGACAAGTTTCCAGAACAATACCCATGCTGGTGAAATTACACAAAAATATTTAGTTAGTGGCTTTTATCTTTTAGAACCTTTATATTTTTTTTAGTTGTTGTGATCTAAAATCTTGAAACTTACATCTCACATTGTCTGTGTGTGAGCAGAGAGAATGCGTATCGCTCTGTGACCTCGGCAAGGTGGCTGAGGCCGCGAGTGTCAACTCGACTGGGATTGGACAAGGCACATAACAGGTCATAGGTCAAATTCCGGCTGCTGTCATGTAAAGGAGTCTGCTCTGCTTCTGTGAGCACCTGGCTCAGGAAAAAAGTATAAAATCAGAGAAAAATTACATATCTGTCAGATATATATATATATATATATATATATATATATATATATAAAATCATATTTTTATTCCTTTAATTTTCTTAAATGTTACACCTTAATGCAGATTTTCTGATTTTTATTGTGCAATAAAATGTACATTTCTTTATATTCTCTCCCTTCTCCCATTGCATATATGTTACAACTCATCCTAAAAGTTGAGTAATTCATTTCTTCTCAACACAGTTTGTTATATCAAATTTCAGTGTTGTTGCCTTTTGCTTGGAGAATAAGCTGACAGCTGTGTTCATGTTGAGTGACAAGTGAACCATTTACAGGTGACATTTGAACACTTCAGAGGATGTAACATATGCTCTTTAGATGTAGCTGAACTACAGCACTACTGTGACTTACAAGCTTTAAATGTTACCCTTTTACAAACAATAAAGAAAGATCATATTATTTTAGCCTTAAGCGCTGTAAGTAAAATGGAAAAATATATATTTTTGTCAATTATATCATATACTTTCCAAAGTAAAATAAGAGTTTTATGGGAAAATTTTTTAAACAAATTATATTCAAGCTTGACATACAGTATATGACATTTAGTCTAATCCTTAAAAGGTCTTGTTTACATATTATTGATGACTAAGTATTTTTATTAGGTGTTGAGCACATGTATTTTTACTATCTTCATACTAGTACTCTTACCTTCCGCAGACCTTCAAGCACAGCGGTCATCTGCTCTCGAGTGAGGGGTACGACTAAGTTCCCCTTCATTCCTTGCAGCGCTGCATTCAGCACAGTTTGGTTAAGAGGCTGATGCAGTTGGTCCAGTAAGCCCCACACAGATTCACTGGCTGCGTTAGCCACCAGCGTCACATTAGCCAGGCCAAACCGCGAGTGAATGCCGGCTCCCCCCGAGGGATCGAAGAGCTCCACCTGGAAGCGCTTCGGCGTGGGTGAAGCCGAGCCGAGGTCAGGTGTCAGGTAAATGTCAATTGACGCGATCGGGCTCCCCACTTTAAAGGTTACTTGACCCTCCTGTTTAGGAAAGTCCATCCCGGCTTTAGCAGGCCAGATCACGTAGGGACCCACAGTGTCTTCTTTGGTGAGCTCCTAAAGGGAAGATGAACCATGTTTTGAGGTTTACTTACGTAAAAAGGCAACATGACTATATTTTATGTTTCATTCATTTATAACATCATCTGGTAATAAAACAGATTTTACTAAAGCACAAGTTTGATGTGTTTAAAATGATCACTTCCATGTTGTTGAGTGAAGCTGACTCGTGTTGTACTGTTGTGTTGAAAGCTTCAGTGAGGACTGATTTAAACTGTTCAGGAACATCTACAGAGATGAAAGCACACAGGTGTGGGTCTCTGTGAGGTTTCTGAGTTCTGTTGAGAGCACAAAACCCTCTCACTTTCATCTCCGGTATAAAAACAGTCAGTGGACACTGTGTGCCATCGATCAGAGTGCAGACATCACAAACTAACAGCTCTCAGAGGAACAGAACCCCGCAGAGAAACCATGGAGGTGAGGAGGAAACTGCCAGCTCTTTGGATTTTATAAGTCCTGAAAAATCAATGCTTTTATTATGCAAGGACAACATGGCCTGAAAACAGCTGTGCTGCTTTTTCCCTCAATAATAAAATGTATGCGCACATTAATAAAAATAAAAATAAAAACTTAAGGTTAATGTTTTTTTTTTTATTTAAAACATGGCTCAGAAAAGAAAACATTTAACACCTGTTTTGGTATTTGTTAAAGGGGCAATATCATGTAAAAACAACTTTTTTGAGTTTTATATCATGTTATAATGTTATACTCTCATAAAAAAACATGCCCAAAGCCTTGCTCTAGCTCATTCATGCATGTTTGAGAAATCCTGCAGCATTTTTAGGAAGCCATGCTGAGGAGCAAAACGACAGGTGGGGACTAGAAATGCCTTTTGGGACCAGAAACGCCCCTGGGATGTGTCTCCAAGCCGAACTTCCTCATCACGGAGAACACCTGCCCACCCCGCCCATGACTCCTGCAGGCTCTCGGCAGTGACAAAGCAAACGAGTGAAACTGAAAGTGAAACTTACACTGTCTGCTGCACGTAACACTACTTCTCACTCAGTGAAGCTCGTTTCAGATTCAAAATACCTTTGAGGAAATGTATTTTCAGATGCCAAGTAAACTGCATCACCCCCCTCCCCCCCCTGAAATGGGCGGGACAGAAGCAGAAGGAGGTTCTTAAAGAGACAGAGGCCAATTTCAAGATGTTTAGAAGAGGAAGTGATGAGAAGATACGTTTATTTTCTATTTAAACATAAAAACAGCATTTTAATAACAGCTAAAGGTGACATAGATTCTTTATTATGGTATAGTATTTAAAGGAGACCAATTATGGGTCCTAGAAATTTTTATGGTATGTCTGTGGGCTATCCAGATCATGTTCATTCAATTTAATGCACAAAATAATTCTCAGAAAATAAAATTTTCCATTTTCTAGTTCTGCCTGCTCTGACTTCCGTTCAGAAGAGCTGTTTATGTTAATGAGCTCTGTTGGTAACGCCCTCCAAAATTCTGTTGACATTAACTCCGCCCTCCAAAGCCAGCGTTTACGTTAGCATGACTAATAATAGCAGAAGCTCCGTTGTACAACCATATGAGAGACCCAGAGGCAGAGTCGTGGTCGCAGCTTCTTTCTTTTTTTTTTCTCTCCCTCCTCTGCTCTGAGCTCACTCTGCATGCTGTTACCAGAGCAGGGAGCAGCAGCAGCAGTGAAAACACCTCAGAAACTCAAACAAATAGGCTTTAACAAGGCTTTAATAAGCTAAACAATAGAGGTACATGAGAAAACGTGTTCATAACGAACAAAAATAAATAAATAATTAAATTGTGTCCATGCCATTCTTGAACCCTGGTCTCCCACTCTCTGCTCCAACACTCTATCCAATGCCCTATTGGAGGCTTGTCAAGAAATGAGCTGCGCATTGCACAACACCACGGTGAAGGCTTTTTATACTGAGGAGGAGGAGTCTCACCCGGGGGTTGATAGGTAAGGGGCTGAACGCAGGTTCCGGTGGGTTGTCGTACGGCTTGTGACATCACAAAATGACGGAAGTATAAAACTTGTCGTTAATATACATTAAAAATACATTTACTTACAGTAAATATGCCCCTGGGTGCATTTTTTTGGTCCTAGGACTGTTTTTTTAAGAAGTACATACCCAAAGTTGAGTAAAAAAAACTTTAAAAAGTGAATTTTGCATAATAGGTCCCCTTTAAATATATGCCTGAGAAACACATAATATTGCCCCTTTAAAGAAAATAAAATCCTCAGGCTAAACTTTGGAAAAATCTAAGTCATGACTGAAAATAAAAAGTCTTGCTTTACAGAATGAGACTAAAATGCCATCTCTATTAGCTGATGTATTAAAATAGTTCCTTTATTTTAAATCCAAACATCAGTATTGGACAAAAATAGTTTGAACTATGATTTCAAGATGCTTGTCTCTTTTCTTTGTGTTTATTTTGGTGCACCTCTGCAGTGTGCATGTAACACGTCAGTTTTCTGACCGCGCTCTTACCACCGTGCGATATTGTACAGTCACAGCTAAAGCGGTGCTCCCTTGTCTGTAGAGCTGCAGGCTGAGCCTCGTGGCCGTCAGAGTAGCGACGGCCAGTCTGTGACCCACAGTGAAGAGCACGACGCCTTCTGGACTGTCGCTCTCTGCCAAGGTGACGTTGGCAAAACGAGCGCTCCCGTTGATGGAAGCTCCAGCACCCACTTGGTAAATCTCCACCAGGAACCATGCTTGGTACTCTGGTTCCTAAAGCAAAGCAGATTTGTGATGTTTATAATTTTATTTAACACATCTCAGAATTCAGAACAATTAGAAAAGAACTGCAGTGATGCTTTTGCTGAGCGTCTCCTCACTCTCTTACCTCATCATCCAAGACCTGAAGAGTGAAGGCACATGTGATCTCCCCTCGCCTACAGATGGCTGTTCCTGATGTCTGCACAAGCTGCGCGGTCAGGTCGACTCCATTACTGATAAGGCTTACTGAGTCTTTGCTGAATGTAGCTCTCCAGAAGACCTGCAGATCTTCAAAAGCCCTGAGCATTTGGACACAATTTACATGAAGTAAATACAAATTGTAAAAGAAAAATTAGGGTGGCAGCTGATAATTCACCCAGTCCTGGACAAGAAAGTTTTAGCACCCTAAAATATTAACTAGAAGTAAATAAACATCCAAACAAATCAAACTATTACCTGTTTTCCTGCCTCTGTAGGTACAGCAGAGCAGTTCTGTTCACTGAATCCTCATGGAGAACTTGGCCCATCAGAGAGTTAAAAGTAAATCCTATTATACCATTCTGGAAGTCACTCCCTGAACAAATGGAAGCAAAAACAAAAGAAAGCAGTGGGAAATATAATTAGAGTTATTTTGAAGTTTGAATTGTATAAACTAGTATCCTGTATCCTAACCTAAACTATCTCATTTAGATCAACCTGAACTGCAATGACTATAGCAGTGGCACTGTTATGTTGTTTGTAACTGCAGCTGGATACAAAGTAGAGTAGAGTAGAGTAGAGTAGAGTAGAGTAGAAGGAAAGGCAAGTAAAAGTAGAATAGAGTAGAGTAAAATGAAAGTAAAGTAAAAGTAGAGTAGAGTAGAGTAGAGTAAAATGAAAGGCAAGTAAAAGTAGAGCAGAGTAGAGTAGAGTAGAGTAGAGTAAGATAGAGTAAAAGTAAAGCAGAGTAAAGTAGAGTAGAGTAAGGTAGAGTAAAGGTAAAGTTAAAGTAAAGTAGAGTAGAGTAAGG